GCACCGGGGACCCCAAGGGGACACCGGGAGGGGGCAGCGCGCACCACAGTGCACGGGGGTGCTCCGGGTATTGGGGTACGGACCACGATGGGATGACCTGGATGTTCTCCCCCCGCCCCGGTTGTGGGTGGGGGATGCACGGGTGACCCGGATGTTGGAGGGGTTATCACGGCATGGAGTTACTCGGATGTACCACTATGGGGGGGGGGGGGGGGGGTGTTTAAGGGTGGTGACTCAGATGTGGTGACCCCATCTCCTCGTGCTTCCCCCCCGTTGGCATGTGTGGGTGTTTGGGTGATCCTGTCTATAGCGGTGGGGTCCTGAGGTGGGGTGTGCTCCCGTGTACACCCCCATCATTCGTGTCCTGGGTGGGCATGCCCAGGGTGACCCGGATGTTGGTTGGGTACCTCCCAGGTGATAACCCGGATGTTGGGCTTGGTTACCATAGTGAGCAGTGCCCCGGATGCTTTGGATTGTACCACTGCGTAGAGAGGGGTCCCCTGCCTCATGGCATATCGTGGTGGCTCTATCCCGCTATGGGTGATAACCTTGATGCTGTGCCCGTTCTCCCCCGCAGCTGTGGGTGGGCATGCCCGCGTGGTACGTGGCGGCGTGCCGCGCCCGGGTGCGCAGCGGCGCGGCGCTGGCGGCGCTGACGGAGCCGGAGCTGCAGCGGGAGCTCGGGATCAGCCACGCTCTGCACCGCCTCAAGCTGCGCCTCGCCGTGCAGGAGATGGTGTCCCTCACGAGCCCCGCCGCGGCGCAGCCCCCGCCCAGGGTCCGTGGCACCGGCCCAGGGGGCCGGCAGCGGGGCGCGGAGGGGGCTTTGGGGGCGTTTGGAGGCGCTTTGGGGGTGATTGGGGGGATCTGGAAGGGGATTTAGGGGTGGTTATGGGGTTGGGGGGGGGCTGAGGGGGTTTGGAGCATCTGAAGGGGCTTTGGGGGTGATGGGGGGGGGGGGGGGTTGGGATCCCCTGGGGAGGTTTTTCGGGGGTTCTCACAAGGCGTTTTGCACAAGGGATTTGTACGGGGGGGGGGGGGGTTGGCACCCCCTTGGGGAATGGGAGGGGTTTGCACAGGGGTTTTACCTGGAGGTGCGGCAGACGGGACCAGAGCAGGTTTGCACCGGGGGGGGGGGGGGGGGGGGGGGGCTGATTATCACCATGGGGTTGGCACCAGGGGCCTTGCACAAACACCTCGTGCGGGCAGAGGAGGTCTCGGGGGGGGGGCCTTGACACGTGTTTGTAACCCCCCCAGTCCTCGGGCAACGTGTGGGTGACTCACGAGGAGATGGAGTCGCTGACGGCCACCACCAAACCGGTGAGCGGGAGCCCTTGTGGGCCCTCGTGCAGTGCACAAGGACTGGGGTGAGGGGTGGGAGATGTCGTCCCCCCCCTAACGCCTCTGCCCCCCCCCAACCGCTGCCAGGAGACCAGAGAGATCAGCTGGGAGCAGGTACGGGGCTTGCACGAGGGGCTGTGGGGGAACGCGGGCCCATATCCGAGGGTCCTGGCAGGGATAAGGGGGTGGTGGAAAGGTCCTATCAGGTCTATAGAGGAGTTTAAGTTAAGGTCTTGTCAGGTCTATAGGGGATTATGTTAAGGTCCTGGCAGGTGTATAGAAAATCATAATGGGGTCCTGGCAGGGTTATGGGTGGGCTGAACCACAGGAAGGTCCTGTCAGGTCTATAGAGGAGTCAAGGCAGGGTCTGTCAGGTCCATAGTAGCTTCTAGTGAGGTCCTGTAGGATGCATAGAGGATCCCTGGCAGGTCTATAGGGGTGGATCATAGCCAGGTCCTGGCAGGTCTATAGCGGGGGTAGGTCTCAGCCAGGTCTTGTCAGGTGCATGGTGCCACCAGGGAGGTGGTGGCCCTGTCGTTGCCACGTGGCCTGTCCCCAGATCTTGGCCTATGGGGACATGAACCACGAGTGGGTGGGCAACGAATGGTTGCCCAGCCTGGGGCTGCCTCAGTACCGCAGCTACTTCATGGAGTCCCTGGTGGACGCCCGGATGCTGGATCACCTCAGCAAGAAGGAGCTTCGGGGGCAGCTCAAGATGGTCGACTCCTTCCACCGGTCTGGGGGGGCCCCCAGAGACACCCCAAAATACATTGAGGGGGGTGGGATTGGTCACAAGCAGGGAGGTAACTGGGGGCAAAGGGGGGAAGGGGATGGAGGACCCTCAGTTGGGGAGGGGAGGGGCCGTGGGCTGGGGGATCCCCCTATTGTGACACTGGGACCTCCCAAAGTGACCTCAGGAGACTTTGGGTGACCACTTGACCCCCATATTGTGACCCTGGGACCCCCAGGATCCCCCATGATGACATTGGCACCACTTTAGGCACTTGGGGTGACTCCAGAACCCGTGAATGTGACCCAGTGGCTCCCCAGAGTGACCCCAGCCCCACCCATGGTGACCCATGGAACTGCTGGGACCCCCCCCAGGGTCATGACCCTCAGTTTGACCCCAGCCCTCCCACTGTGACTCTGGGACCCCTTTGGGATGACCCCATCCTATGTGTGTGTTACCCCCCCCGCCACAGTGTGAGCCTCCACTATGGCATCATGTGCCTGAAGCGCCTCAACTACGACCGCAAAGAGTTGGAGCGGAGGCGGGAGGAGAGCCAGGCCCAGAGCACCGGTACAGGGCACTGGGGGGCACTTGAGGGGCAGAGCCAGGCCCAGAGCAGTGGTATGGGGTGTTGGGGGGCACCTGGAGAGCAGAGCCAGGCCCAGAGCACCAGTACAGGGCACTTGGGGGGCAGAGCCAGGCCCAGAGCAACCGGTATGGGGCGTTGGGGGGCACTGGGAGGGCAGAGCCAGGTCCAGAGCCCCAGTACGCGACACTGGGTGGCACCTGGGGGGCAGAGCCAGGTGCAGAGCACCGGTATGGGGCATTGGGGGGCACCTGGGGGGCAGAGCCGGGCCCAGAGCAACCGGTATGGGGGCTGGGGGGCACTGGGAGGGCGGAGTGCCAGGAGACGCCAGGGGGCGCTATGGTGCATCACTGCTGGGCGCTAGGGAGCGCTAAAGGGCGGCATAGCTTGGTGCTATGGGGCGTTGTGGGGCAGTGCCATGGGGTGCATGGGATTTCTATAAGGAGCTGTGGGTCACTATGGGTTGCTATGGGGGTGGCTGTGGGCCACTATGGGTCTCTCTGTGGGTTGCCGTGGGTCGCTATGGCTCCGTGTACCCCCAGACGTGGTGGTGTGGTCCAACGAGCGTGTGAGCACCTGGGTGCAGAGTGTGGGGCTGCGGGAGTTCGCGCGGCACCTGCCAGGCTCCGGCGTCCACGGGGCGCTGCTGGCGCTTGATGACACCTTCGACTGGGCCGACCTGGCGCTGCTGCTGCAGATCCCCACCCAGAACACACAGGTGGGTGTGCGGGGGCACTGGGAGGGGACTGGGGGTTACTGGGGGGCGCTGGTGTCACTGGGTGGTGCTGGTGTCTGTGCTCCAGGCGCGGCAGCTGCTGGAGAAGGAGTTCAGCGCCCTCATCAGTACGGGCACCGACCGGCGCCTGGATGAGGTGAGACCCCCCCCACCATGGGTGCAGCCCCAGGGAGCCCCTGCCATGTGTGACCCCCCCCCTCCCCCCCCGTTTCTCCTCCCAGGATGGGTCGAAGCCTTTCAGTCGCTCCCCGTCCTGGCGGAAGCTGTTCCGGGAGAAGGAGTTGCGGGGAGGGGGGCCCGACCCCGAGATGCTGCCCCCCAACTTCCGAGGGGGACCGCTCAGCACCCCCCCACTGCCTCTGCGCAAGCTGCAGCCTGATGGTGAGTTATGGGGGGGACACATGGGGGATAAGGGGGACTGGAGTGGTAATAGAGGGGTTATAGGGGGGTAATGGGGGGATATGGGAGGGACATGGTGCAGCACTGTGGGTTGCTAAAGTGGAGACATGGGGAGGTAATAGGAGGGATATGGGGGACATGGGGGGGTATATGGAGGTAATGGGGCAGTGGGGGGCTTTAGGGAGATTATAGGGTTGTACTGGGGGAATATAGGAGGATATGGGGGGCTTATGGTATACGGGGGCATAGGAGGGTTATGGGGGGCTTGGAGGGGATATGGGGGGTAATGGGGAGATAATGGGCTGCAGAGTTGTGTCACATGATCTTATTCCGCCTTGCTCCCCCCCCCCCCCCGCAGGTAACTCGCTGCCCCCACAGAGGGGGGACGGGGTCTCGGTGCGGACGTACTCATGTTAACGGTGAGAGAGGGACAGAAATGGGGGGAGCTTAAAATAACGGAGGGAAGGTTCTAGGTAGTTAATGGGGAGGAAGGAGTGAGGGGTTGCTATTTTGGGTCCCCCCTCACTTTTCACCCCCCTATTTCTAGGTGCCCTCTAGTGATGGATGAAGCCTGTTGGGGGGGACTGCCAAAGTCACCCACCCAGAATCACCCTTCCCCCTCAATATGGGGTGTCAGGGGGGTATTTGCGGGCCTTGAGCCTCGTGTTTTTGGTTCTGCTGCTATGAATGGGGGGGGGAAGTTGGGGGTCCCCCCCTCCCGAACCTACAACAGTGACACCCCCCCCCAACCCACCCCCCTCTTTTTAATGGCCTCCTTTTGGGGGGGGGGGAGGGGTGGGGGGTGCATGGAACAAATAAAAATGGGGGAACCCCCCCCAACCATGAGTTTGTGGCTTTGACCCCGCTTTGACCCTGTAGACCCCAGGACCCCCATTTTCCCCCTAATTCATCCTATAGACTCCCCTCAAACCCCTCAGACTCCCCTCTAAATCCCCCTCTACACCCCCAGAACGTCCTCTTTGATCCTATAGACACCCTGGAACCACTCAGGACCCTCCAGTGGACCCTATAGACTCGCAGGACCCCCTTCATTCACCCTATAGCCCCCCCCCAACCCCCAATTTTCCCTATAGCCCCCCCCATGGTTCTCTGATATATCGGCATCACTTCAGACCTTTTATTTTCAGCCCCCACCCACTTTGGGGGGCACACTGGTATGCAGGGAGACAAATGACTGCAATGGGAGGTATGTGTGTCCCCCCCAAAAGCCCCCCCTAAATCCATTCAGGCCTCTGGTACCTCAAAGAAGCTGGAGAGGGACCTGGATGGGGGCACAAAGGGGGTTAAACTGGGGAGGGGACACCCCAAAATGGGTGCAGGGAGGGTTTGGAGGGGATTTGGGGGGGGGCACTTACTGCAGGAAGGCCCCTGAGAGCTCATCCACGAGGCTGCCTGGAAGGGAAAAGTGGGGTTGGGAGGTGTCAGGGAGCCCCAGAATGGGTGTAAGGGGAGGGTTCTTTGGGGGGGGGGGGGGTGCGGGGGTGGTGTCTTGAACATCCTTATGGGGGCTTGGGGGGGGGGGTCTTGGGGGCTTTTGGACCACCTAAATGGGGCTAAAGGAGGGCTTGAGAGCTATAGACTGTTGGGGGGGTTCTAGAGAGGGTGTACTGGGGGTTTGGGATCCCCCCTATGGGGTTTGGGGGGGTTTGGGGGTCTTGGATCTCTCTGGGAATGAAGGGGGATTTTAAGTGGGAGGGTCCTGGACTGCTATGGGTCTAAGGGGGTGTTGGGGAGGTGTTGGACCCCCAAAAGGGGGTGGGGAGGTATTTGAGTGGGGTCTGGGGGAGGTTATGGGGTGTTGGGGGAGGTTCTATGGGGGTGTAAGAGGGTTTTGGACCCTCCCAAATGGGGCTGGAGGGGCTGGGGGGGGGTGCCTGGAACCACCCATAGGGGCAAATGGAGGGGTTTGGGGGGGTCCTGGACTCTCCTATGGAGATAAGGGGGAAGGGGTTGGGGGGATCAGAGGGGGGTTTAGACCCTCAAATGAATCGGGGTGCTCTTGGGGTACTGGAGGGTTTCAGAGGGTCTGGGGGGGTGGGGGAGGGGCTTTAGGATGGTTCTGGACCCCCCGATGCAGCTGGAAGGGGGTTTTGGGGTGGGTCAAGGGGTTGGGGGGTCGCGGGAGGTATTTTGGGGTGCAGGGTGTCTCACCAGGCTGGCAGGCTGTGTCACACAGGAGGGGACACAGGTAACAGAACTGGCAGCCCTAGGGGGGCACAGGGGGGCATCAATAGGGGTGCAAATGGAGCGTAATGGGGCCGGGGGGGGTTGGGTTTGGAGTTACCTCACACTGCGGACAGGACTCTCCCTCGGCACAGGGACAGTTACTGCAGTGCTTGCAGCGCTGGAAATCGGGGGGGGTCAGAAGGAGTCCAACACCCCAGTGGGTCCCGACCACCCCTTTGGTACCCCACAACCCCCACTTTAATGCCCTTAAGTCCCCATTGTGTTCTCAGCCTCCTCCCCCAGGGTGTCCCCCCCTTTTGGGCTGCCCCCCATCGTGGGAGTGGGATCAGGATTGTGTAGTTTCTCCCCCTGCCCCATTACCTTGCATAAGGTGCAGTAGCGGCAGATGGAGCCAGGCTGGTAGTGGCCTTCGTTCTCCTCCTCCTCCTCCTCACTCCCTGTTAATGGGGGGTGGTAATGGGGGGTGTTATCCTATATTTGGGGTGTCCCCCCACTTATAGCACCCATTGACATCCCATGGCCTGACCTTCATCCTCTTTGGAGGAGGCATCATCATCATCTTCATCATCATCTTCATCCTCCTCCTCCTTGGAGCTGGGGGGGTCACCATGGCCATGGGGGCGCTGGCCTTCATTGCCATGGTGATGGTGGCTTTCATCATCATCCCCGTGGTGATGGTGGCCTTCATCTTCATCATCATGGAGGTGGCTGGAGTGGTCCTGAGGAGGAGGATGAAGGTTGGAGCCTTCATCCCCCCCGTCATGGTTGTGGCCTTCATCATCCCCATGGGGACCATCAGAAGGGTCCTTGTTGCCATGGTGATGATGGAGGTCCCCATGGTGGGGATGATGATGCTCTTCATCACTATGAGGATGATGATGGGGTTCCAGGTTGCCATGGTTATGATGGGGGTCTCCATCACCATGATGGTGACGAGGAGGGGTTCCCCTGTCGCAATGGTGATGAGAGGGCGGTTCCCTGTTGCTGTCAGGATGCTGCTGCTTCTCGTTGCCATGGTGATAACGGAGCTCCCCATCCTCACGGTGGTGGCCTTCCCCGTTGCCATGGTGACAGTGGGTCCCCCCATCGCTAGAGTGATAATGGTGACCAGGGGTTTCCCTGTCACCCCCCTCGTTGCCATAACGACCCCGGGATCCCCCTTCTTCTGCACAGCGATGGGGCTGCTCCCCGTTGCCATGGTGACCATGGGGAGGGGGTTCCCCCCCTGCTTTCACAGCCCCCAACAGCAACAGCCCTAACAACAGCCCCAGGAGCCCGGTCGGGGCCATGGCGGCGGCTGCTGTGAGTGACGGGCCCGGCTGCACACCTCCCCCACCCCCCCGCCCCTCCCCCCTCCCCCATCCACTCCTTCCCCACCCCATAAACACCCACCATGGGGGGGGCAAAGGGGGGATTTGCATATGTATGTATGTGTGTGTGTGGGCAGCACCAGCCCCATAGATCCATTTACAACCCTCCCATGGCAAATGGACTTGCCCCACACTTGGGGGGCAGCCCCGTAAGTGGGATATAAGGGGGGGAGGGTGAGAAATGGGGCTATAAATAGACACTATTAGGGGGAGGGGTCGGTCACACGGTGCTGCAGGGGGTTGTGGGTAATGGGGGGGACGCAGGGACATGCGGGGGCACGAAGGACAGTGGGGGGGTTGGAAGGGGGGGTACTGGCCTTGACTTGGGAAGCAGCCGGGGGTGGGGGTGGGGGATAAAGGGGGTGTCCCCCAAGTGGCAGCAGCCTCACAGCAGGATGGGGGGACCACAGGTGAGTGTGTGGGGCACTTGTGCGGCTCTGGGGGGGAAGATGGGGACTCCCATCCATGGGGCAGATATGGGGTAGGGGCACCCACATCAGTGGGGCAGGAGGAGGCCATGGAGTCCCTCAGCAATAGGGCAGATGTGGGGGAGGGTGATCCCCCATCAATGGGGCAGGAAGAGGCCATGGGTACTCCCATCAATGGGGCAGATGTGGGGCAGGGGGAGTGGCATCTCTGGGTCACTTCTGGGGCTGCTCCATAGGTGCTGGTGCTGGTGCTGCTGACGGGGACCCCCATTGCCTTGGGGACCCCGATTGCCATAGGCAGTCCCATAGCGCTGGAGGGGCCATTGCTTGTGGGAGGCCCCATGGGGAGGGTGGCCATTCCCGAGCGCCCCCCATGTCGCCCCATCAACGTGACAGTGGCCCTGGAGAAGGATGAGTGTCCCCAGTGCCAGGCGGTGACAACTACAGCATGTGGGGGATACTGCAGGACACGGGTAGGACATGGGGCATGGGTTGTGGGATAGGGGATTTGGGACATGGGTTATGTGATATGGGGTATGGGGACACAGGGGTGTATGGGGTCGTTGGCTGTCGGGACATGGGAGGTATGGGGAGATACGGGGTGATGCTGGGGTGCTATGGGGGGGTCCCCATCTCATCCATTCCCCCCATACGGGTCCGTGTATCCCATTCCACTGGGTGCTATGGGGTTGCTATAAGGTTACTAAGGGGTGCTATGGGGGGGTGTCCCTTGTCTCACCCCATCATTTCTCCCCCACAGGAGCAGGTGCACTGCAGCCCGCTGGGTGTTGTGGGGTTCTATGGGTCACTATAGGGCTCCATAGTGTTCTATAAGTATTGCCCCGTGCTCAGGAACCCGTGTACTGCAGCCTGTGTACTGTAGCCCTCTGGGTGGGCGCTGTGGGATGCTATTGAGTTACGATAGGGTTCTATGGGTCACAATAGGGCTCTACGTGTCTCTCTCCCCACAGGAACCCGTGTACCGCAGCCCCCTGGGCACACCGCCCCAGGCCGCCTGCACGTATCAGGGGGTGCGCTACGAGCGGTGGCTGCTCCGGGGCTGCCCGCCCGGCATTGACGCCACCGTCCCAGTGCCGGTGGCACTTGGCTGCCGCTGTGGGCGCTGCCCCATGGCCGCAGCTGACTGCACCGTGCAGGGCCTGGGCCCAGCCTTCTGTGGCGCCCCAGCGGGCTTTGGGCCCCCATGATGGATCCCCCCCGTGCAGTGGTTCCACCCACTATAACGGGATCCCAGTGGGCATGGGACTCAATAAAGGAACCCCTGGGGGGGGGTTTGAGCTTCCATGATGGACACCCCCTTCACTATGGTGTGGTTTTGGCTGCCATAATGGGACCACAGGGGGGTTGGACTCAATAAAAGGACCCCTGGGATGGGTTTGGGAAGCCATTATAGATCCTCCCGCACTGCAGCGTGGTACCGGCCACCATGACAGGACCCTGGGGCGGATTGGCATCAATAAAGAGACTCTCAGGAGGGGCTGAGAGCTGCAAGGAGGGATCCCCCCATACCAAGGTGTGGTTATGCCCGCCATAAAGGGAAAATGGAGGGGGTTCAGGCTGCTATAATGGGTCTCCCCCAACCCAGGCTCCACAGCTGAAGGAGCCAGGACCTAAAAGCCCATCAGTGGACACCATAGAGATGCACAGAGAGGGACCGCCTCTTCTGCGGGAGTAGGGCCCTAAAGTCCATGCTCTGTGCTCTGTGCCGTGGAATGACGGAGAGCAGGCACCAGGCAGGCTCCAAACACATGGAATTTTAGGTGGGAAAGAGAGGAGCGACAGCAATGCGGCTGGCACCGCTGTGGAGCTCACAGTGTGCACCACGAGACGGATCAACATGGCAGCCACAATCATGTTCACCTGGAAGATCTGTGGGGCAGGTCTATGGGTCAGGATATATAGGGCAGGATCTATGGGTCAGATCTATGGGGCAGGATCTGTTCACTGGGTTGAACAGATTTGAGCTTGTCTGGATGGGGCTGGACTGGGCTGAATTGGAGTAAATTTTGCTGGGCAGGGCTGGACTGGGCTAAACTGGGCTTGAAGTTGCTGATCAGGTGTGGGCTGGGGTGGGCTGAGCTAAACAGGGCTGAACTGTGCTAAACTGTGCCTAATGGGGCTCAACTTGTCTGGGCTGAGCTGGAGTGGGCTGTAAACTGGGCTGAACTGGGTTAAATTGGGCTGGGACAAGCTGGACTGGGCTAAACTGGTCTGGACTGAGCTGGCCTAAACTGTGCTACGTTGGGCTTTGAAGGGCTAAAGTGGGCTGAAGTGTACTGGGCTGGGCTGCATTGGGCTAAAGTGGGCTGGACTGGTCTAAACTGTTCTGGGCTGGGCTAAACTGGGCAGGACTGGGCTAAATTGAGCTTAACAGTGCTAAACTGATCTGGATAGATGTGAATTGGGCTAAACTAGGCTGAACAGGTCTAAACTGCTGGGCTGGGCTGAAGTGGGCTGAAGTGAGCTAAAGTGGGCTCAACAGTGCTAAGGTGTGCTGGAGTGGTCTGAATTGGGCTAAACCATGCTGAACTGTGCTAAATTGGTCTGGACAGGTCTGAATTGGGCTAAACTGGGCTGAGTGGTCTAGGCTGGGCTGGGCTAAACTGATCTGAACAGGGCTAAACTGGTCTGAATTGGGCTAAAGTGGGCTGGGCTAAGCTGGAATGGACTGTGCTAAAGTTGGCTGCGCTGGGCTAAAGTGGGCTAAATGGGCTGAGGTAAGCTGGAAGTGGCTGGACGGGTAAAGTGGGCTGTGCTGAACTGGGGTGAAGTATCTGAAGGGAGATAAAGTGAGCTGGACTGGTGTGCACTGGACTAAAGTGGGCTTGGCTGGGCTAAACTGGTCCAAACTGTGCTCTGTTGGGCTATATTGTTCTGAACTGGGCTAAACCAGACGTAACTGTGCTAAACCTGCTTTAACTGGGCTGAAGTGGGCTAATCTGTTCTGAACTGAGTTAGGCCTGTCTGAAGTGGGCTAAAGTGGGCTGGAGTGGTCTGAACTGGGACAAACTTGTCTGAACTGGGCTAAACTGGTTTGGGGTAGGCTAAACTGGTCTGAACTGTGCTAAACGGTGCTGTGCTAAGCTGGGTAAGCTACCCATGTAAACTCATGCTGCAAAGTAACCCCTGCCTTCCCCTCAGCCCCATGCTACACTTCAAACCCCTTCCTGCCCTCCTGACCTTGTCTCTCACCCTCCAGACCCAACCAGCAATCCTTCTACTTAACTTCCATAGTGCCATGGGTCTCAAGCTGCCCTAGATGCTCAGAACACCCACATCAAAGTCTTGGGATCTTGCCACAGCTGCCAAGTTCCTCAGTATAACCTGCAACAAACAAAGGAACCAACAGGAACACCCTGTGCTGGCCATCATCATCACCACCACCCCACCCACCAATACTGGCCCAGTCTGCAACAGCCCTCTTCCTCCTTCAAAGCTCCTCAACATTATGCTTTCCTGTTCCAATCCCATAGCAGAGTCCAACACTGAGCCTCTCCTTCTCTCCAGGTCCTAGGAGTGCAATAGAGACAAATGACCACAGTGCTTGGAAAAAGTGACCGACCTCCCAATCTTTCTCCTTATCTCCCTGACTCACCTCAAGCACTCATCTGACTCCAGTGGTAGAAGGCAGGCCCTGCAACACCAAACACAAATACTGAACCCCTTTGCCGTGCTCTTCTCAAATCTAAACCACCAAACACACCCAGACAACCCCCTTACCTTCTCACGGTCCTCCTCAGTTGTCAGCTTCACCTCTCTGGAGTTACCTGCAGCACCTACAAAAGAAATGGAAACAAGCACACACAAAGAGATATAGAAGCTGCACCCTTGCCTCAGCAACTACCATTTCTCTCTCCTGTTATTTCACTACTCATCCACTAAACTTGAAAGGTTTTCCATCCCTTTATTCTAACATGTACACCCCTTGGAAAACACTAACAAGAAATAAAAAATACAGTTTTATGAAAATGACAAGACCAAGAAATAAGTTGTTACTTGGGTGTTCTAAGCATGGCTCACCTTGGCTAAATAACCTCAATGTCTTTTTTCACTTAAAATGTGAGAGGAAGTCTGAGCCAGGGAGTCTGTGTTAGCCTCAATGTATGATTTGTGTGGATGTGTGAGTCAGTGAATGCCAGGTTGAGCCCAAGTCTGAGCTGGAGTGTCTGTGCAGTTTAAATACATGAGACTGAACCAGTCTGTGTGGAAGCAAACCCATGTGAGTCTGAGCCCCAGAACCTGAGACAGAAAAACCCTGTGTGGTCTGAAACCAAATATAATTCAGAGCCTAACTGCATAAAAGTGAAGCTGTGCAGTCTGTGAGTTCTGAATGTAAATGTAAGGCAGAAAAAGAAGGCCAAAAAGGTAAAACCAGAAACCAAAAGAGCCAGCTGTACCTTGTAAGGCTGTATTTACCCCAGCTGCTGGTTTGACCCACCCCTGAGCCAGGGCTGTGAGGGAGGGGCTGTGGGTAGGGCCTGGGGTATATAAGGCACAGCTTCCAAACAAGGAGCTTCTATAGGGTTTGGCTCTCTTGAAGGTAAGGTGTTTGGGGGGTTTTGTGGATTTAATGCTTTGTGTTTTGTTTCTGCTTTTGTTTTTTGAGTTCTTTGAAATGACTTTTTTTGGGCTAAATATTTTAAGCTACTTTAGTATTTATGTGTGCATGTACCAGTAAACTCTTTTGTGCTGTGGTTTTCTTTGAGGTGCTATTGTTATTGGTGGTTTTGAGTTAAGCAGATTTTTTTGGTTGCTCTCAGGCACAGAAATTATGGCAAGGTTTGTTTTTGTTCTAATTCCTTCTGTCTCTGTTTGTTTTTGCATATGATGGTCATGGTTGTGGTTACTGAATGTATATACTAGTTATATGACTAGGAGATTTTTCAAGGGTGCCTTTGGGTCTGTGCTCTTATAAAAGCTAACTTGAATGCTTAGGTTTAAAGAAGACCAAAGCAGAACATTAATGTTGTTTTGGGATGTAGAAGCTGTTAAAGAACTGGTGATTTTTGGCAGGGAAAGGTTTAAGAATAGTTTTTAGCTTGTTTATTTCTCACTTTTAAAGTATAGAGGGCGCTGGTTCTTTACAGTCTGATGTAGTTAGTATTTAAGGGTATTTCCCTCTATTTGTTTGCCTCTAAAATGTTATGTGGCTGGATTTCTGGTTTCTGTTCTTTTTTTTCTAACTGCTGTTACTGCAGATGATGGAAATGAATTGGGTGGGTGCAGTAAACACCCAGGTGCATAGTATGGGACATCTGTGCAGTAATTTTGGCTTGAGATTTAAAACACTATAAAAATTAAGCAGAAAGACTAGTTTTTGTGAGAAGAGGGGTGGGGAACAGCATCAGGATAGCAGGAATAGGTCTGAAATGTGCCATAGGGATGAGAAGAAGAAAGCGGGGCATTTTATAGCACCATCTTGCAGTGGGTTGGGTAGTACAGCTTGTCTGCTCAATGAGTGTATTTGATTGTGATCTGTGTTGGTGCTTCCACATCACTGCTAGGACTAAAGGTGCTAAGCCTGCTCTTTAGACCTTGTTCTTTATATCCTGACTGCATGAGTTGGTCGTTTAAAAGTGTGTCAGGCATTTCTTTTCACTCTTTACAAGCATAAAGCAGAGCAGAGCTTTTCCTGCAGTCAACTCATTAGTAGTCTTGTGGGGCATTGCTCCAGGTTACTTTTCCAGCTGTGAGGAGGTAAGGGGTTTGTGTGTGTGTGTGGTTGCTTAGAATTGAGAAGAAGGTGTTCAGTGCTTTTAGTGTTTGTGTTTGGCATTGCAGGTCTTACCCTGGACCTCTGGAGTAGGATGAGTGCTTGAGGTGAGTGAGGGAGGTAAGAAGGATTGTGGGATCGGTGACTTTTGCAAGAACCATGGTCATTGTCTTCTGTTGCCCTCCTAGGGCACGGAGGACAGGAGAGGCCCCAGGTCAGACTGTGGAATGGCTTTGGGACAGGCGAGGCCAGTGTTGAGGAGCTTTGGAGGAGGCCGAGGTTTGGTAAGGAGCAGGCTGGGCAGGATGGCTGGGGTGGTGGAGATGAGGGCCACCACAGGCTGTTCCCTGTTTTTGGTTTGTTTCTGCAGATGATGAAGAGGAACTTGTCAAGGTCTGCGGCATGGCTGGCATCTGCCGTGGGAGTGCTGAGCAGTGAGGTTGCCTCGAGACGCATGGGACTATGCAAGCTAAG